TTGCTTAAATTGGAAAATTAACTGCGATGATCATTCTTCACTTTCATCTACAACTGCAGTTCATATATGAATTATTTCATATAAACTTCACATCACTGTATTTGATTATTAATAAAATAAAAACTTCTATTGAAAGAAACCTGCCCAACTCCATAGTGGTGTTCATATATATGTATGTAGCATTCCAAGGCAGGTACTTGCCGAATTATTAGACCCCAAAAAATGTAATTCCAACAGCTCAGAATGTAGCTACAAAAAGGGTTTTTTCCTCTTTTTTATGAAACTGGAGGTAGTCGTAATATTGTCATCTGCATGTAGTTTTTACCTGTAACCAGATTTGTTGTTAGACATAAAAATTTCTGGTCATTATCATTATGGTCAACCCCTCCCCCCACCCCTNCCCCCGCCACCTTTCACTGCAAAAAAATATAATGTCACCACAAAATTTTTAACCCCAGAAAGTTGTCAGGTCACCTGTTTCAAACCCCCCCAAAAATAGGTTTTGGATCTCCCCATCACTGGTAGAAGGAGGGTGTGCCAAGATTAGGAGGGAGGCGAGGAGTGGGATGGAGTATTCAATCACCTTCCATCAACCAGTAATTTGCATGGTGTTTTGTCCAGTTCATTTAATAAGCTCAATCATAGAAATAAGTTAATAAATATTCGTAATTTTCACTTCTGTCAATTATTTTTCCCTTTCAGAACACCTTGGATGGTGATGGAAAGTTGCACATTTTATTTCTGTTTTTTGTTTCACTTATGTTCTGTATAAGTCTTTGGTCACTCTTTGGTTATCATTTATATCTCACTGGGAGTAACAAAACAACTCTGGGTAGGTTGTAATGTTGTTTTAGCTTTGAATTCTCCATTTTTTTTAAAGTTAAAATTTTCAAGTGAATCTACTATTAAAAATTTAACGAAGTATATTTAGCAATAAGTGGTATTCGGAAGTCCAGTTCCTTTGTACGTAATTCCTTCCAAACTAAACACTTTAAAATCCCAATAATTGTTGCATCCTCTTTCAAATAAGGAACACTAAAATAAACATGCTTCTGTTGACAGTTCTTCATAATAAAAACCTCTAGAACCTTTAGGGACCTCCTTAAAGTGTACATTGCTATTGCAGAGTTTCTGTGTGTCAATTTTAAAGTAACAATGTTATTGATTTACCTTTCTGTTCCTATCTTTCTGGCAGAGTCGTTCAGAGTTCCCCATTTCTATTATGGGCCAAATAAAGATGGCTTTAGTTTGGGGTCTGCAATGAAGAATGCTGAGCAAGTATTGGGGCTTAATAAATGGTACTGGTTTTTACCAGTCTTCACCAGGTAGGATTGGATGTACTGTGATTTCTTCAGGGCCGGGGAAGGGATTCCTCTATATGGGCTATGCACGTAGGTATGCACTGCCTTGAAGGGTATGGTTTTTCAGCCACCATAGTGTGAAACAGGGTATGGTTTGTGCACTCTGGTCTTGAATTGGGTTAGCCTGCAAGGAGGCTCACATTGGAGCATGAGCACGCGTGGGAGCACAAGCACACGCAGCATAGCCGCGAGTGCGAAATCGAGCGGCGAAGTCACGAGGCCTCTTCACCAGACTCCTTCCCGTCGGATGGCTTTGCTCTTCGCCGTTCCCGCGTGTGACTCAAAGGTGAGCCTGCTCACAGGCTAGAAAAGGGTAAGGTTTTTAAGAAGATCACCAAACAGTAGGCTCGATTTCCGCCGCTCTCTCGGGTCCGCGTGAGCGCGGGCTCATTTCCCGAAACAGCGGCTGGTAATCGAGCCTAACCAAACACCTCCACCACATTTTTCAGGGAGCAAGTTGTGTTTGAGGCTGATAAAGGAATTTAGAGAAAAACTCATCAGAAACAGTAAATAGTAACTTTATTAACACATAATAATAATTTATTGAATTACAAGCCTTAGCAGCTTGCAGCTAGCAAAGCTGACCTGGGCGAGCTAACTATTACTTTAACAGTATTATATAGTTTACTTAAGAGAATAAGAGAGAAAAAAAGAAAGTGAAGAAATTTGAGTAGATAAACAAAATTAAACCAAAATATTATACATAACACGAAACTTGCAAGTTACAGTCAAACCTGTATGTAACGGCCCTGTATATAGCGGTCACCCTGTGTATAACGGTCACTGAACAACTTCCCAAACATCATCTCTTATAAATACTGGTAAGTTGACCTGCATATAGCGGTCACCTGTACATAACGGACGCGGTCACCCTTTAGACTTCCTGAATCCACAATTTCATTATCTTTTACCTGTATGTAACGGTCACGAAATTGGGTTATGATTAACGAATAATGACAAGCTTTATTCATAAGCTCATTAAATAGCAGCCACCAAGGCAGGGGTCTCACAAAAATACAAATATTAGTACTGAACACAGCTACTAATACATGTCATTGCCTATGTACGACAAATGCTTGTGGCAGATACAAGTGTCATCGCTTTCAAACAATAGTTACCGGTACTGTAACTGTAACAACACAACTGTACCACACTGTTTTCACTTTCGTCATAGTCCCCTGATTATAACACTGTACTGTACTTATCTGTCTCAAATTGTTGTCAATAAATGTAAATTGAGTGATTTTCCACTTGAAAACGTTGTTCATTAGCTTTCAGTAGACTTTTACCGCGCCTCCCTAAAAGTACACCACAGACATTTTATGGGCCTTTTTCATCGTGTTTATTGCGTTGCTGTTACTCGTTATTGTCAATAAAACGTAAATTGAGTGATTATTTGCACATAAAAATGCTATTTATTAACATCCAGGGGAGGTTAAAGCAAATCTGTGTACAGCGGTCACCCTGTATATAATGGTCACCTGGCCACTTCCCAAGGGTGACCGTTATATGCAGGTTTGACTGTATATCCTTGCAAGTGTCATTATGTGAGTTGAGGTTGTTGTTTTATTTCTTGGAGGTTTATTGAGGTTCCTTGAAGGAAGAAACTGTTGTAATTATTTTGTTTATCAGGAAAAAGATTTAAAACATAAAAGAAGTGTCAAGGTTTCCCTCAAAGTAACGGGGGCACTATTATAATAGTTTGTCTGCTTTCAGTAATTTTGTTTGTTTGTTTTGTACAGTGTTGGTGATGGGGTTCACTATCCATTACTCAACCAGCCTGAGGAAGATTCATTATTAAATGCGCAAAACAGATGGATGGAGGAAGGGGAACTGGATGCACAGGAAGACCAACCAAATGATGACAAGTTACATGATCCAGCAACTGTGGCCATTAACATTTCACAAACAGAGCTGGTTCACGAGAATGAGGTTGAGACACAGATTCCATGTGCTCCTAGACCCAAACCAGATGTATTGACAGTGCAAGAAGATGATATTCAAGATGGGACAGCATTGTAATGTACAAACTTAGACAACAAAGTTCTGTTGTTTGTTCAGGTACATTGTGCCGCACCAAGGGGTCCTCGGTGAGGTCCTCTGGACAGACAATGGTCATTTGCCCAAGTAAGGGTAATTCAGCGCTTTTACATTTCTGACCTCAGTTGTCTTAGTAGTAAACATAGAAAACCTCTGACAAATCTGACAGTCAGATCGTGTTAGTTTTAAGGAAATTTGAGGCCAATTTCAAAGATATGCCTTGCATGGCAAACTTTGCATTTCCACATAACCAACCAAAATTCCAGAAAAGCTTAAAAAGTAGAATGAAGGGAAAAAGTAACATAGGGCATTAGGACATTAAAGTACAAATTCAGCCTCAAAACTCTGTTGCTTGTATATCTGTTAGGATAAAGGAGTGTTTTTTTAAAAAAAAAATCTAAGGCACCAGAGGAGTGCGGAAGTGCCCCCGCCCAACCTTGATCAGACTTGTGTATAAACTATTCGACGTCTGGGTTCGGGAGTATTTCTGAGTAATCTTACCCATGCCTAATTTTTTTTTCTCCCTTTAAGTAAGCGGGGATAGTTGTTAGTGAGAAAGTTTGTATATACAATTACTGTATGCAAGAAATTCCTTGCTTATGATTTTTAGTAGAGCTTGTAACTTTTTTATCATAAATTCAGCAAGTACTTTCCGCCTTGTTTGTTCGTTTGTTTGTTTACTATTTTCAGCAAGTTTCTGCTAAAATAGCTCTGTAAGGGATTGTGCATTGAAAATGTAGAAGTTCTTTCGAAGTAATCATAGTTTTTCCTTCACTCGTAATTTGACTGACGCAATGTGTTCCCAGACTTCTTGATGTATAGATTGTTTATTTTCTGTTAATTAAAATTAACTCCTTTTGTAAGTTAAATCATGTTAATACTAGGTTGTAATGATCAAGTATTATACCTACTAAATGGTAAGGAGAATAACACAATACGATGACTTTGTCTTAACTTCTCTTGAATAAATCGAGAATAAAACGGTAGATATGTTACAAGTGTTTAAGTATTCGTTTTGAGAATTTTGTAATGTAAAAGAGATTTGCCTTATCACAAATTAAAAGCTATTAAAGATGGGTTGATGATGAATCCCAACACTTAAAAAATGTTTAGTCAGTGTGGCTTCTTTTTTCTAGCTAAACAGAAGAAACTTTACAAAAAATAAAACAAAGGACATTAACAGCGCCCCTGCTTCGGTCACGATAATGCCGGTGTCTTCTTGTCCGACCCATTTGTGTACCTCCCTAGATGCTCTGATGAGGGGGCCTTCATCAGAAGTACCCAGTTTTGCCGTAATTTCTTTACGACAATGCAAACCTAGTCGATAATACATTAGAAAACGTGTATCGGATTCAACTTCATATTAACTTTTAAAATATATACATAAGTTAAGTAATTCAATCTAAACAACGCATATATGGAAGATAAGATTCCTAAAGGATGCGAAAGGTTAGTGGAAACGACGTTACACAGGTACAGGTGTACAAAGAATCGGAGAGAATATTTAAATTCCTGGCTACTGTTGGTTTTTCTATAATTTTCCAAATAATAAAGAAATGACTGTGCAACGGCGAATTTTCTCATAACAATTCTGGGCTGGGTTGTTCAAAGCCCGATTAAGCTAACCCAGGATTAGCAAGAACTTTGATTTCAGTGTTGTAATTTTTCGGTGAGGTTTTCTGCTTATGTTTGTCTTTCAGTTTTGAGCTTGACTAAGCTCAAACTATACAAAAGGCGAGCAATAACGAACATTTTTATACAAGAAAAATTAATAGTTCGGTTAACTTTTAATCCTGGGTTAGCGTTAAGCGGCTTTCGAACAACCCGGCCCTGATGGTTATGTTTGCCTAAACTGTTATTACATTGACATGTAAAAGTCATGTAAAAAGTTAAATATGCGGGTACGAAGAGTTTTTCTGTTTCGTTATTCCGAAATCCAAGATTGCACTTCCTGTCTAGAGTTTGACTAGTGTTTCTGCATTACTGGGAATGTGTTGACTCAAATTTAACTCTGAATGTATCTCGTTTACTTGCCCAACTGTTCGCTCGGTAATCGCGCGATGTCTCCCTCTGAGCAACTTTGCTCTGTACACATGGTACAGGTTTCTTTTCGCCGATCTTAAACGACACACCCACTTGGTTTCTGCTCAAACTTTGTCGATTGTTCTCAGCTCCGGGGACGGCATAAGACCCAGTACCACTTATGCTTTGCGATCGCCATATCTTCAAAGGCGCCAAGATTCTCAGGTACTCCGCGCGAAAGGAACGATTCATGATGCCGTATATGACGGGGTTGAGCGAAGTGCTGGCAAATCCAAAACAAGAGTAACTCACATACACTTGTCGTTTCAGCTTCCAGTCAGCGTTTATAAAGTCAATCATATCGATTACCATAACAGGAGTCCAGCAAGTTAGAAAACCTATCACAACGACTAGAAGCATATAGGTAACATTTACTTCATCCACTGACAGTCTGCTGTCGGTCGATAAGTTTGACTGGGTTCTTGAACGAAGTCGAGGTCTGAAATTAAGGTTATGTTTGCGCACGGCGATGAATACTCTCGTGTAGCAAGTTACGACAATAATGAGAGGTATGAGGACATAAACGAGAACCAGATATGCTCCGTAACCTTCATAAAGGCTTTCAGAGTTATGTGCACAGAACACCTTTCCAGTGTGAAAGAAAAACTGGTGTCCAGCTGCAACGTACGGAAGAGGCGCAAAAAAAGCCACTATCCACAGAATCACGATTGTCACTTTTGTTGTCTTCATGTTGAAGAGTTTCTGATACAGCGAGCGCGAACGAACAACTCGAAAATACCTGTTTACAGCGGTCACGGCTAAAGTTTGTAACGACACGGCGCACATCAAAAGAATCCAGAATCCTTGAAGCTGGCACACAAAGTTGTTTAAGGGCCATTGTCCAACGATAAGAGAAGCCACTGAAAATGGAATCCCCAGTAAAGACATCAGCAAGTCTGAAACAGCCAAAGTTATGATGTACATGTTTGGTACAGCTCTGCGAAGATTCGGGTTTTGGATGACTGCGATTCCGAGCAGAAGGTTTCCGGTAAAAGAAACCAAGTTGATCAGCAACATAAAGAAGGATTCTGTTACCCGAACGCCAGTTGATCGGCTTTTTAACTGCTGAGCAAAAACTTCAATCGTGGTCAATGTAGAGTTCATGATGCAGTTCAGTCTTGGTTTCGAAACTCGCTAAAACTTGAGCGCCGCACCCAGTTAGTAAGTTGATCACCTGAATGTGTGTTGTAGAAGTGAATGTTTCTCTTTTTACTTTTGGATGGCTAATATTTCATTTATAAGACTTCCTGAATCTGAAAATAGCACTAATGAATTATTAAAAGCCCACTTGACAACTTTCGTTGAGGCAACACTCGATCCAGCCAGTTATATTAAAACCGAACGGAATACCGCGCTGCCACGGTCTAGAATAAATTCTTGTTCTTTTCAGTGAACCAAATCATGGTCTTAACAGACTGACATTCAGACACCTTTATATCACCTCTTAATAGAACTCTTTCTTGTAAATTTTGTGGCTAAAGCTGTCAGTTTCCTGCCCGCTTCAGAGCTTGAAATCAACCGTTTTCCCATTTTGAATTTCAAGTTTTCCTTTCAAAAGACACTGAAAGATGATCAAAAAAGTCTTCAGAGCCAAAAGCCAGATGCTGGTAATGGAAGCGCTTGCACGTAAAGGAACAATTGTTGAACTGACAACATCCGCCTAATGTGTAAACACAACCCACAATGTTTGAGCAAGCGGTCTCTGAGGAAATTAAAACAGGGTATGTTTTGCTTTCTAATTTTTTTGCGATTATTGCATGAAAATGCATGTGCAAGAGTAAAGATTAAAAAATGATCATTCAACGTATTTTTTTTCACGTTAATTGTTGTCAATTTTGTTCCTAAAGGAATTATGACAGAAGTTTGTGGGGTTTTTTTTTTTTCACTCCTTGAGCTTCTTTTTTTGTCAGCGAAGATGAAATTTGTTTCAGGACCGGAAAATGTCTTGACACTTAAGCAGACGAAAGTAGCCGTTGGAGATGTCATGTCATCTGTTTCCGCGATGGCAAGCAGATATAAGAAACAATTTAAACCAATTGAGCAATTCATTAAAACACTGAATGATGCTTTTTTCTCTCTTCATTACGTTGTTATTATTTTGTAAAGTTCTGTCTCGAGAAAAGCCTCAACATTTGAACATAATTATTTTCTTTCATTTTCTAGAGTAAATGTTTTAGACATAAAATCCATTTTCCTAATGTAAATGTGTTTGATTAAGAGGACTGGGCTGTCAACTTGTCATTGCTCACTTGTGCGATCAAAGAAAGCACACACTTTTAAAGTGAAACTGCCCTGTCTGAAACTCCGCCACATCATGGCAAGTAAATTGTTTTAATCGCTGAACCATTTATGTACCTGTGATAATATTCGCTTTTATATTTTATTAGTAACTCTTGTCTGATAGTGGATAAAAGTAAACAAACACCAAACAAACGAAACATAGAAAGCAAACAATTTTCATATTGAAAGACGAAGACTTAAGTTTATATTTATCGGTTTTTTACCTTACCAAGTTTTTCCCAGCTGTTTGGTGTAGAAGAAAAGTGAAAAACTATATATTTCATTGCTTGTATTTAATTAGATTCAGACTCGCTTGACACCCAGTGAAGTTCTGTTCTAATGGAACTTGCTAGAAGGTTTTGGCACGTAGACACAAAAATTTTAAGCCGTTTTGCGGTGCATTAAGCAAAACCTTCCGCAAGAACGTTTGTCTTAAGGAAAGCAACTAAACCTACATATCATTTTACAGCAGCGTCTAGAACCAAAACTAACGAAGAAGCGCATTGGAAACCGACATCTAACATAAAATGAGCTACATGTGAGCGTGTAGATTTACACCTGGTGTTCGCACTTTCGCCTGCCCACCGCGAAGCGGAAGTAGAAAGCGTGGCGCTCGTGGCCCCGCTCCTCGCTCGCTCGTGTTTTGCTGTCTCCCTTGCTAGTCCGCGTGTTCTGCTGGTTAGGGCTAAGAATATTGAGGCTAAAATTTGCGAAATTTCAAGAATATTCTAAGAATAAACCCAAGGCTTAAAACGTGGAAAGATTATAATTTTGTTTCTTTAAAAATTTGTTTTAAACTAAACCGTATAAATCTCTTCCTTTCTCATAACGGCAAATTAAAACCAGCCAAAAAAATAAAACCAAACGAACAAAAACAGCACTAGCCATATGTTCGATGCTAATAAGATTTCTGCAAAAAAATTAGGTTCGTCATTTCAGGCTTTAATTACCGCAGGCTGACAGAAATGTCATACGCTGTAATCTAAGAATATTCTCAAGAATATTTTCAGCCTAAAATCGGCAGAAAGTAAGAATATTCAGCCTCGGCCGGAAAAACAATCTTTAAAACACTAGAGTGTATGTAGCCGAGTACTAAGTTAAGTATTGAGTTCCGTAATGTGGTGTCAGTTGAAACAGGTCACTTGAAAGAGATCGCCAAGGACCTTTTCACGACAATTTTTGTCAGACTTTTTAGATAACTCTAAATAAGTTTTCGCCGGTTTCCACTTCTTCTCCAAATTCTACTTGTTGTTGTTAAGGTGATACAGGTGCGTTCGCTGGGTTAGAATACATCTGCCCTAGATATAAACGCAAATTTGCGGGTGTCCTTCGGGAAAAAAAAATGTACGTGCGCCAGTTTCAATCAATCCCTAACAAACTATATATCAGAAGAAAGCTTACCAAGTGTAGTTTACGATAAAAAAAAAAATGTAATTTAAGCGAGTTTTTCTTTCAGGAAGTGTCAGGAGCCGGTAAGGCGTGAAACGACCGAGGGTTCCTCTACGACCGCATAGTACAAAATTATACTCATTCCGAGAATTACCCAATTTCTTTCAAAAAGATTTATTATCATATTTCATATCAGATGAATAACTTAATATACTTTTATCTTGCTGTGTTTTCTTAAAATGTCTGCAGAAGTTCTAATGACGATTAATTTATAGATACGATGAAAAACCTACTCAAGGTTATTCCCCAGTATTGCATTGCGCATCCCTACTGCGCATAATTTCACGCGTGATCAGCGCGCGCGCATTAAA